AGGTACAGCAGGGCTCTGCGCCGGGAATGTAGGCCGCACGCCTGAATGCAGGCAATCAGCAGAGCCGAGTCGGTCCTGGAGGCCCACGCCATGTAGGAAGACTTTCCCGGTTTTCCAAAACCACAATCAGCCTCAGGCCGCACCTCGCCGCAGAACGCAACAGGCAAACGCGCGTTTCGTGGTGCGACATACAGAACGTCTGAGGGCGGCCGGGGCCGGAGTTGGAGAGAGCAAGGTATGTGAAGGTATAGTCGAATGCACGCACGCACGGCCTCGAGGGTTGCGCAAGAGCACGAGGAGAGCGAGGGAGCGGAGTGAAAGAGAGCGAGCAAGAAGTGAGAGAGAAAGAGAGCGAGAGATTACCAAAGCAACCAAAAAACACAAAGTAGTAATAAAGAAGAGGACGCGGGGAGGGGCCGATAAGGCTCGGGGGCAGGTCAACGGCACGCCGGCCGGCCAGGTGAGGGAGGTGAGGGCGGGCGGGGCGGGGCGGGCAGCGAGACGCACTAGGCGGAGGAGGAGGAGGAGGAGGAGGGCCGGTGGTGGGTGCACACACTCCTCAACATCAACTCGGCTTTTAACGACAGAACACCATGCCTCCCCAGCGCGCGGCGGGACGGGGCTGGCAGGGGCGGCCTCAGACTGTCGCCGCTGTCGTACAGCCCGACAAGGTAAGTGACCTCGGGGCGCGCGGAGTTGTCTTAGAATAAAACCCCCCTCGGGGGCGGCCGAGAGCGTCGTCGCCGCGGTGCAGCAGCGGCTGAACAGCTGCTTGCCCCCCCGCTCTCCCCCAGGGCCAGCTACACAACAGCCTCCTTGCCCCCTCTCCTCAGCTTCGTCTCCTCCAGCTGGCCGGTCCCCGGACCCGGCCGCAGCTTCGGGTCCCGTCAAAACAACACAAAAATCCGCAGCCAAAAGCAGCCGGTCCGGGGCGTGGCGCGGCGAGGCGAGGCCGACTCCGACTGCCACACCGGTTTGGAACTGGGACGCGGCTGACGCGGCTGCAGTTGGGCCCGCCTGGCCGGCCGGTGTGAGGGTCACTGCATCCTGGTTCAAGAGCGGCAGGCGGCAGCGCGCCCCCGCCGCCGAGGAACGAAAACTTTCGAGGCAAGACGACGACTGCAAAAACAGCATGAGGGATACGCTTGAGCCGAAACAAGGGCGGCAATAAGTTCGAAAACGTTCAACTAATCGCTGGATCATTTCATTATCCCCGCTAGTATCTACTGTAACTTATCCAGCTCGATCCAGCCTCGTAATCCGGACTAAATCCGGGAGCAGCAACTTTCGGAGGCGACTTTACTTCTCGGTCCGCCCGCAGCAGAAGCAGAGACGGATCAGACCGGAGGAGAGGAGGGAGGCGGGGGGGGGGCGTTTGTGAGAAAAGCGGAGGAGAATGCAGCAGCCTGAGGGGTGCGTGGGCCGGGCGGCCCGGGCGGGCGGGAGGCGGTGCGGGGGGAGTGTCTGTCTGGCCCCTGTCTGGCCTAGGGGAGGGGTCCAGCCAGTAGTTCCAGCCGCCAGGTGGGCCGGCCGGCGGCCGGGTTGCACTAGGCTGCAGTGGGCTGCACCGGCACTAGGCTGGTCGCTCGGCCCCGCGCTGCTTGCGGCCTCAGTGCAAGAGGGCCCGCAACGAACGAGCTTTTAATGGCGCCCAATGGCAATCTGCCGCCTTTGGCTATCACTAAGACGTCTGGGAGAGAGAGACAGAAACGGACAGAAAAAAGAAACGGCGCGCACCGCCGGAACGAAAATAACCGCCTGCCACCGTCACCGCGGCGAAACTAACGTGTACGTGTACGTGCATGCGCAAGTGTGGTGGTGCATGCCACATACCAGCAGGCGTTGGCGCCGAGAGGGAAGGCAGGCGAACGTACGCCGCGAGGCAACTGGAGCGAAAAATGTTATTCACACCGATGTGTG